GGGTGGGAGCGGATCAAGATTGATTTGGAGTGGGATTGATTTGAAACGGGGTGGGAGCGCGTCGTAGCCGAGAGTGGTGTGGGGGGAATTTTAGGATGGGGTGGCGGATTGGGATGGAATAGGGATTGTGGTTGGGGGAGAGATCGGGGTGAGGGTCAGATCTGGATTTAGGTGGTCTGAGAGGGGTAGCGTCTGGGGTGGGATCACGTCCGGATTTGAGAGAGAGCTGTCGGGATGTTGTCCGGGCTGGGATAGGATCGGGGTTGGGATAGTTCTCGGATAGAGAATACGTCGGGGTTGGGATGAATCAGGACGGGGATTGGGCGGGAGGAGCCGGAATAGAGCAGGACTGGGATGAAGGGAAGAATCAGGGCGGGAGGAGTTGGGAAGGAGCGAAAGGAGTCGGGCTGGAACAGGATGGGCCGGGATGGAGGGGGGGGGCATTGGGCTGAAGCTGGGATGGAGCGGGGGGAACCGGGGTGATGGCTCCGAACTGAGATGAATCGGAGTGGGGATGTAGCGGGAGGAAGTCGGGATGACGTCAGAACAGAGGAGAACGAGTGACGGGGGGAATGGTGAAGAAAGAAGGGTGGTGGGGAATGCGACGGGATGGGCGCGTGAATAAAGTAGGAAGGTGGAGCGGGTGTGTTTGTGGGGAAGACAGAGTCAGGAAGTTCTGATGGGCGAGCAAATAAGGTAGGGAATTTGAGTCGGTATCAAGAAGACGGGCCCGCAAGTAGTGTAGAAGACGGAATCAGGGAGTTTTGATGGGCGCGCGAATTAAGTAGGAGACGGGATCAGGAAGACGGGCGGGTATGGGGAAGGAGGAAGAGTGGTGGGAATTGCGACGGGATGGGCGCGCAAATAAAGTAGGAAGTTTGAGTCGGGAGTGGGGTAGGTGCGAGTCGGAGTTGGGAAGACGGGTTCTTGATGGGTAGGTCAATTATGCCGGACGAGGGGGGATTAGGTTTTGGGGGAGTGGGTTCATATGTCTAGAACAGATTGTATGTCTGGTGAAGAGATTGACCAAAGAAATTGTTAGAAGCAGGGGGTTAGCGGGAGTGATGGGGGAGCGAGTTGAGGGGGGCTATCAGGCAAGTTTTCGTGGTAACTTCTCACAGTGATTACACATCGGTCTCTTGAGATTCCTTTTAGGGCCGAAACTCGCGCAAGCAGCAGCTTCTCTTATTGCGCTTGTGATGATGATTGTCCTTTGCACGTCCTTGAAGCATTCAGGTGTCAACCTCACGGGCTAGAACAAGGATTCAGCTTTTCTGTCTCTCTTTGTCTCTTCTTTCTAACTTCGCCTTCGTATTCCTTCTTGCTCTTGGCTTGTGTATGGACTCCTCCTTCCTTTCCCTTTCCTTCGCTTGGCCCTACCTTCTGCTGCGCACTTACTCTCCTTCTCTTCACTTTCTTTCTCTTTCTCACTCTCTCTCTCTCTCTCTCTCTCTCTCTCTCTCTCTCTCTCTCTCTCTCTCTCTCTCTCTCTCTCTCTCT